TTCCTTCTGGTTGCTCATCTCTCGGCACTACTGTAGCTCCTTGTGTCCTGGCACTGCTGGGTCTCTGGGTCTCTGCTGGTCAGGGATCCAGTGGAGTCTGGACAGAGTCCTACCCCTCCTCTCAGTCCATGGTTGGCATTAATGGTCTCTAGCTCCAGCTTGCCCAGCTGACACTGTGGGGACCTGGGCAGTGCTTGTGTCCCCCTGCCCTGCCTCCTCGGGATGCTCGGGGTCCCTGCGTGGGCTCCGGGATGGGCAGGGGCAGCAGGAGAATCGGGGCCTGTTCTCCACAGCTTGCCTGGGCATTGGTGTGACTGGCAACCAGAAACTGTGCCATCACAGCCTTGTACCAGGCCCTAAGCACGGGGACTCGGCTGTCCAGGAAGCAGCTGCCTCAGACGGGCGGTTCTGGAGCCGGCTCTGGTGGGGGCCACGGCATCTCTGTTGAGTGTGTCTGAGTTCTGCTGCAGGTGCCACAGAGGCAGGCTGGCCCCTGGGGGAAGAGTCCGCAGGCCAGGGCTGGAGTGAGGGTACAGTGCAGGAGGGCTTGGGGCCGGGGTCTCTGGAGCAGCCCCAGGACAGACAGGGGCGCTGGCAGAGCGAGATGTAAGCCTCAGCCTTCCTGCCATCCACACTAACTCAGGCAGGGTGTGGGGTTGGGGTATAGCTGGTCCAGGGAGGGGTCTGCCTGGCACGGGGTACCCACCCCCTAAGGAAGTACCTGGGGTGTTGGGGCTGAACTGTGGACTCTTGCTGGTCCCTTCAGGCAGCCCACTGGAGGATGGGCTGGGGCCACCTCCCTGGGCACCTCTCTATTCAGCCGGCTGAGGTCCCAGCTATGGAAGAGGCTGGAGCAGTCTTTGTGAGTGGTGGCCGTGCCGTAGGCCTATGTGCCGGGCCATCAGCAGGCGACTGGGGCCAGAGGCTGGCCTGTGTCATCAGACAAGCCCTTCTCCCTGCGGTGTGGCTGTTTGCTGGCTCTCAGCCTCAGGCTTCTGTTTGCTGCCTATGGACCCCTGACCTTCAGCCCCACTCTCGGCCTGGTCCTGGAAGCCAAGATGCCGCTTGTACAGAGGGAGGCGGCACTGGGGCATTTCCTTCCTTTCCTGTCTGAGGGGGCATCACCCCCTTTGGCTTGTGCCCTCCTACCAAGCTGGCCCATCTGGAGTTCAGCTTGGCCATTGTCACCACCCTCCCCTGGTCATTAGCATCCCCTGAGCAGCCCTGTCCATGAGCTCAGACATGTGATGCTGCAAGAGTGGTGACACTTGGGTCACCTGCTGGCACAGCTTTCTTGGGCCTTCAGTGGGCAGCTTCTTGGGCCGACTGCCCAGCCCTGCGTGCCACCTGTCCGTCCTGTGATGGGCTGCCCAGTGTCCTGGTCATCATGGTCAGAGAGTGCCCCAGCAGACTCTGAGCCCCAAGATCTTCACCAATAGAGTTAGGGACACTGAAACCTTTAGGGTTGAGTCCCTGGCCATCTGGAGGACATAAAGGCCCGGGCGCTTCTCCTAATCCACCAGACATAATGTCATCGACACAGAGGACCAGGCATGGTGTCCTGCGGAGGGGACAGCCCCTGTGACTGTTATGACCAGGAGCAGGGTATTTAGGCAGCCCTGGGTTCTCTCTGTGTGTGTGCTCTGTCCACACTGCGTGTTGCATATGCTCTTATTTTTTTGGCACTGGGAATTGAGCTCAGGACCTGTGCTTGCCAGGCAGGCACCCTGCTGTTGAGCTGCCTCCCAGGCTCCCCCCTGCTTGGATGGACACTGCTCTGGGCCTCCCCAGCTGAGGACAGAAAGATCCACTGCCAGCTGAGGGGCCACGAGTGCCCAGCCTATGCCCGCATGAGTGGGCTCTGGAAAGGGGACCGACCTGGCCCACAGCTCAGGGACTGGACCTGGGGACCATGCAGCATAGAACAGTGGCAGATGCACGGGGGCTGAGGACCCTTGCCCTGGCCCTCCAGGACACGATACACATACTCACACCTGACATCCCCCAGGACACACTGTCCTCGTGGCTTTGCTTTCCTGTGAGGCTGGGGTAGAGGCATCACACACCCTGTCACAGTGACAGCTCCAGGGCTGGCATGAGGGTTCTGCCAGCACCAGCTGTGCTTCTGGGGACAGGAGCCTGCGGGCCAGAGGTGCACTGCGAGTGCACCAGGCCTCGGTCACGGGGTCCAGGGCCTTGGTTACCAGTGAAGGCTTGGGCCCTGGTTCCGGGAGCCACCCATTTCTCCAGGGAGCAGTTAACCAAGTTCACCCCTGGCACCTCTGGTGAGGCATGAGGGGTGCATTGCTGCTCCCACAGGTATTGCCCGAGCTGCTGCCTCATCCCTCAGCTCCCGGGTCTGAAACCTGGCTCAGGACACCAGGAAATGCAGTGGCCTTGCCTGGGACGCTGTCCCGGTCTCCTGCTCCTCCACCTCTTGCAGTGGCGTGGGCTGTGCAGAGCCTTTTCTAGCTCATCCATCCATCCCCAGCGGGTGGTCTGTGCATCACCCCGCTGGCCACATCCTGAGTTGTCTGTGGACTGGGACCTGGGCGGCCGTGCCTGCTACTGCTTACGGAAGCCTGTGTGTCCACCTTGCCCCCACCTTGTTAGCACCTTTATCACCTCTGCTGCTGGGGGCTCTGCTCTGTAGTAGCCTTCCTTGCCACCAGCCTGGTCAGTGCTGTCCCACCATGGGATTTGTTTTTTTGGTGGTGAGTAGAATGTACTCTGGGCTTCCCACAGACCGCAGTCTCCGGTGGCTCCCCCACCTGTGGCCCGCTCTCCCTTTCCCTGCCAGGACGGCATGGTGCTCACCCTCCTCAGTATCCACCATGTGGCTCCAGGGCTGCCCAGCGCTGGCTCTTGGTCAGTTTGGATGCCCTCAGCTGCCTGCGGGTCCAGGGCACACGCCTCCTTCTTGGGGCCTCCTGGATGAGGCAAGGGCAGGACTCCAGCAAGCTGTTATCCTGATGGTCAGGAGTCCTGGGAAGTGGCTGCAGCCCAGGGGCTCGAGGAGGGTGAGGGAAGGCTGGGCCAGTTTCCAAGGAGGACCCAGGCCTCTCCAGGCCCAGAAGGCCAGGGCATCCGTTTTCACACATTCCAAGCTTCCTGACTCAGGTCCCGCTGTCTGTGTCCCAGGTTCTCACACTCCTGTCTGACCGTGTCCTGGGGCCTCCTCTGCCCCTTCTGCCTGTGAACCGTCCTGGTCCCTTATGCTGCCCTCGCTGCCCCATGCTGCAGTGCCCCTCTGCCCTCATCTCCAGCTTGGCAGGTTCCGGGGCTCCCTGCACCTTCTCCCCCCCCCCAATCCCAAAGCTGTGAGATGTCGCCTCATACAACCCCTATGGTGTCCTGTCTGGCTAGCTTACCAGTGCCTTCTGGGGCCTGGAGCTCTGCCCACGCCCAGCAGACCTTGTGGCCCCCAGGAGTGCTGGTTGGTGGAGACTGGGCCAGCAGTAGAGGGGCCCTGGGGCTGCCCATGGTGTCAACACAGACTGGACCCTCCACGGGGAGCTCTGCCGCCCGGCCGTGCCCCCCAAGGTTCTCCTGAATGGAGGCAGGGCCTGGTCTCTGTGGGCAAGGATGGAGCCCTGATATCCCCGTATAGGATTTCTGGTGCACCATGACGGTAGTGCGCAGGGTGAATTCCGGGTGGCCTGCATCCGAGGGAGTCTTCTGTGGCTCTTTGGTACCTGCGCCCAGGCCTCCCCTGGGGAATCTTTGTGCTGGGCCCTGCAGCCTGAGGGGTGGGGCCTTGGGACACAGGCAGGCTGGGGGAGGCAGGGGTCTCATGCCTGCTCCTCCCCAGGTGTGGAACCAGAACGGCAAGAGCCCCTCCATCACCTTCGAGTACACCCTGCTGCAGCCCCCGCCTGCGCACGGCCGCCCGCCGGTCTACTACAGCTTCTCCGAGCCTGCCTCGGCCTCAGCCTCCGCCAGTGCAGAAAGCCAGGAGCTGGCCAGCGCAGGGCTCCTGGGCTTCCGGCAGCACAATGCGTCACTCTACGGCCTGGCCTCCTCCGGCCAGCTGGGCCTGGACAACAGGCTTTTCGGCCCCCGGGGCACTGAGGTGGACCCGAGCCCCCGTCTGGGCCAGGAGACCAACGAGGTGTACCAGCCCACCGATGGCGGGGCCTGCCGGGGGCCTCCCGGGGGCTTCCGAGGTACCCAGGAGCCCCTGTGGGTGGTGGCCCGGGCAGGCTCAGGGGCAGAGGTCTGGGCGAGGGGACCTCAGCCCCTTCCCGGGCAGAGACGAGGTTGAGGGAGGTGCTGGCTGCTTGCAGTACGCAATGATCTGTCAGCGTCCATGGGAGTCAGGGCCGAGGGTCCTGTCTGCCACCCAAGTTCCCCGAGGCCCAAGTGTCCTGCTACAGTGCTGTGCCATGGGCACAGACTTGCCCGTGGCCTCTTACGGGGCCATCTTAGGTGACACACGGTACTGGCAAGCACGTGGGCCACACCGGCAGGCATATCATTAGGGCCTGATGACCTCAGGCAAAGGCTCCTGGTCCACACACATTCGCCTCCCCCTGAGTAGTTATGAGCCCCGGGCTTGTGGAAGCCAAGGAGGCGGCACCCACGGAGCAGAGGGGCTGCGAACGGCTGTCACATAGTCTCCCAGGAGCATGTGAGGCTGTTGTGGAAGCTACCTGCCGAAGCCACTGTCACCCTGGAGGGGCTGGACTTCCAGGCTCACGCAGGGCTCTGGGCTTGGGGTGACCAGCCTCGGAGCGCCTATTGGAAGGGCGCCGGGTGCCTACTGGCTAGAAAGGACCCCTCTCGCCTCTACCTTGTCAGATAGCTTCCTCTCGGGATCCAGGGGTCTGTCTGTCCTCTTTCTTTGGAGGACCCTGGTCATTTAGGGGCCCACCCTAATCCAGGATGTTGCCATCTCCTGGTCCTCACTAATCCCACAGACAGGGACCCTCTTTCCAAATCAGGTCACTTGCACACACTTTGGGGATCCCGTCCCACTTGCTGCAGAGCCCACTGATCTCAAAACAGAGTTGGAGCCGTGTATGTTTCCCACCCAAGACTTGGTTAAACTGGATCTTGTTGTTCTCTAGAACCAGGGATGGATGGAACCCAGGGCATTTACACTGAGCTCTAGCTCCAGCCCTTTTGTGTGTTTTAAAATTTTATTTATTTATTTATTTTTATTATGACACAGGGTCCAACTAAGCCACTAAGTTGCCCAAGCTGGGATCTAATTTGTGACTGTCCTGCTTCAGCCTCCGAGAGTGCTGGGTTGGCAGGCACACACCTCCACGCCTGGCTGGCTCCAAACTGTATCTCACTGAGCAGAAAGGACCTTCCTGGAGCATCCTAACTCCCTTGTTCTGGGGAGGGACTCGCCATTCTGGGTTCTTAGAGGTAGCAAGGGGCTAGCATTCCCACGGAGCACGCAGCTTGAGGTCCCACTGCTTGTCTCCCTAGGCCGCAATGCCACTGGGACAGTGCTCACAGGGGACAAAGATGGCCCAGAGGCGGAGTCCCGGCTCACCTCCCAGGAGTTCCTCTCAGCCAACTCCATCTCTGACCAGCTCCTGGGTACCAGCTCTGACTCCAAGGAGTTCGGCCTCAATGAGACAGGAAACAGCATCTTTGCACAGGGTGCCTCCAGGGGCCCCGAGGCTGAGAGCCTTTACGCGGATTACGAGGAAGGCGAAGGGGCTGCTGCTTACCTGGTCAACGGGTCCTACCTGGAGCTGAGCAGCGACAGGGTGGCCAATACCTCCTCCGAAGCCCCGTTCCCCAATGCCAGTGCCAGCCTCCCTGCATCAGCTGGGAATAGGACACACAAGGCCAGGTAGGCTGCTTCTGCCCCAAGAGGGCTCCGGGCGGGGTCATCCTGAAGGATCCTGGCCAGGAGGACCCCAAGGTGAATGGGACAGGGCTACTCACCTGGCACCCTGTGTGTAAGAGCATAGGGCCAGAGCCTAGGCCGGGGGCCAGGTGTCCTTTGCTGCGATTTCCCGGGTGTCCCCAACTTGGATCCCTGTTGTGGAAGCTGAGTGTGCAGCTGACAGCTCTGAGCCGGCCTCTGGAGCAGAAATGGGGGACAGCCACTATGGAGTCCTGCTCCCAGGGCTCTGAGGGACACCCCAGAGCCCCTGGGCCCACAACAAGAGGGGCACAAGCACCCCTCCCCAGGCTGAGGACATGGGAGGGTCTGGAAGTCCCAACTCGGGGCAGGGGGTGGGACTAGGGTGGAGCTGTAGCTGGGACAGGCTGTGAGAGCCATTGGGAGAGTGGCACTGGGCCCTGGATAGTGAGGGTTGGGGACATCTGGGTGGTCAGGGCTGGGGACACATGGTAACTAAGGCTGGATAGTCAAGGCTGGCCCTTTTGGCCAGCTGGACTGTTGTGACTAGCCTTAGAGGGCCTGGGCTGCTGTGCCTTCCCAGGCTGTGTGGGCTGGTAGAGTGGCCTTGGAGTTGCTGTCCAGTGTAAGGACAGTCCCTGGTGGCCAGGCCTCTGGGCTGAAGGGGCCACCCCTCCAGGCACTACCCTTCTTCACAAAGCTCCAGGGGTAGTGCGGCTGGTGTGGACACCTGCGGGGCAGGATTGGCACGCGTGGGCTGCTGGCTTTTGTCTTGTGTCCTGGGAGCCTGGTTACCTGAGCCGCTGACCTCAGACCCAGTAAGAGCTGAACTCTGGCAGGGTGGAGATGCTGAGGCCAGGATCCTCGGGACGGGCTCTGGTGGGAGATCTGGGGGCTGTCTTGAGGTGACAGGGTTTGGGCCACTTCTCCCCTATCTGTGGGGCCCTAGGGTGATAACGTGGCCTGCCTGTGAGCCAGAGACCAGGGCACAGTGCTGGCAGGGACCTGAAGGCACTGTGGATGGCTCATGTGGCCGGCTCTGTGCACCTGGGGAGGCCACTGCTTCTGATCTACTTGCCACAGGGGACACGGGACCGGCTGCTCCCCAGACCCTGCACCCGCAAGGCACAGCCTTGGCTTGCTTTGCGGGACCGGGTGTGGAGCAGGCCTGAGTGTGAGAGGCTTGTGTGATACACAGGAAAGGCTTGGCGTGCTGCAGCTGCAGTCACACCACCCCTGGGTGGGCAGGGGCTCCTGGCACCCACAGCCCAGGCTGGAGTTGGGGTCGGAGGTGGCCTGTTGGGTCCCGTGCCTGTCACCAAGCCCCCGCTGCCAGCACTCAGAAAGACAGGCCTGACTCGCTGAGCTGCGACGGCTCCCCTGGCCACCCTGGCACCATCAAAAGGTGCTGCCAGAGGGGACCAGAAATGGTCCGGGGAGATAAAGGGCTGAGGAGGCCGCTGGGAAACTACTCGGCCAAAATAGCCGTGTCTCGGGCTTGTCCAAACACAGGAAGTGGTGTCTGCCTGGGGAGCGGGAGAAATCAAAGGGGCAGCCCAGAAAGGAAGGGCTATTTTCATCTTTGCAGAAACGCTTCAAACAATCAAGCGGGGGAGGCATCGCCAGATACAACTTTGGGACCAGGCATCACACACACACACACACACACACACACACACACACCCCAGGCATCACACACACACACACACACACCCCAGGCATCACACACACACACACACACACACACACACACACACACACATTCCACGCCTCTCTGAAGCCTGTAGAAAAGAGAGAAGGCTGGCCTCTCCAGTTCGTTTATAAACAGTCATTTCAGAGCCTCTGCTGCCAGGGGGACGTGGGAGCCTGCCTTCACCCAGGCAGCTGGGCAGCTGGGGCGAGGCCCTCGAGGCCGTGGACTGGGAGCCGGTCACAGCACAGCGGGCGGCGCGTCCTCCTGGACGCAGGTGGGGGCCCCGTGCTTCCCGGGACTCTTCTCGCTGTTCCTTCGAGACGGGAAGCAGCCAGCCCTGCTGTGTTGTGCAGATACGCCCAGGGCTTTGCTTCTGCACGGCACACACGTGTGCACACCCCATGAGCCACAGAGGAGAGCGTGGGCGGCCCCTCCAGAAATACCCCAGGGGCGAGAGCCCTAAGGGTCGTCTTGAACCCCCCCCCCAGTGGAGAGTGAGTCACTTGCTCACTGGCTGGAGGCCTGATTAGCTGAGTGCTCTGCCTCTGTAGCTAGCTCTGCATCCCTTTTTCTCTTGGGGAGAATCTAAACTGTCGAGAGTGGGTGGGACCCATCACAGCCGCATTTTCTGAATGGAGCCCCCGGGCTGGTTCTCTGCATCCTTCCAGCCTAAGCGGCTGTGGCTGAGGCTGCGAAGGGATGCCCCGTGGCGGCTGCCCAGCTTCCCAGAGTTTTGTGCAGGGTCGTCGTCCCTCTCCTATGTTTAAAGCTCTCCCTCCTTGTAAATAGGGCAAGAGGGGAAGAGCTTCCTGCCTCGAACTGAGGGCGGGCGGGCGCCCCTGCTGCCTGCGCGGCACTGGGAGCGGGAGCGGGAGGGAGCGCACTGGGGCACCTTCCCCGCCCCTGCTGGGAGCTCATTTCCTGGGCCGTTGGAGCGCGAATGCATCCTAGTCGAGTGGGAGCCCCCCTGGGAAGCATAAGCCCCAGTCCAAGCAAAACCAAGAACCATTCCCACCGCTGGAGACTCACAAACAGCTTCAGCTGTCGCCGAGCCAACAGCCCCTCACAGAGTCGCGGGATGGCAGAAGTAACGCCCCTAGGCACAGTCTGAGCCCTGAGGTACCCAGGAACTGTCCCCATATCAGGCTGAGAAGGGGCCTGAGACCATCCTCATAGCAGCCTGGGCCTGCAAGTGGTGGTCAGCAGGACCAGCTCCCCACACCTTCCCTGGCTGCAGTCCACAGCGCTCCCTAGCCCAGCGCTGGCCACTGTCTCAGGCAGATTCCCCAAGCTGCCCCCTCTGTCTCCCGCAGGATCCAGAGAGCCTGTTGGGGACAGGGCGGTCTGGGCTCACTGCCTTGTTCAAAGGAGCCAGAGGCCTAACAATCATTGGCCTTGGTTGTCCCTGGCCAGGCCACAAATGAGCTGGTGGCTGGCTAGGCCCCAGTGGCTCTTCTTGGGCCAGAGGTCTGTGCGGTCCATCTGGACCGGAGCCTTGGTGCGGGGCGGGGCTGCTGCATCGGCAGCTGGGGCTCAAACTCTGATCACCAGAGGCCAGCGGCCAGGGTCCCCACTCGGGGGCATCCCTAGGGGGGAGTAGGAGGGAATTCCAGGACGTTCTCAGAACTTCGCGTCTCCTGAGGTTCCTGCTGAGTGTGAGGGAGGCGTCCACCGGCCAGCCTGGGCAGCGTGGCGGGGAGGCTGTGAGTGCAAGTGAAGTGGGCGTCCAGGTCTCACCAGGCACCTGGAGCCACCAGGGCTCTGAAGGATGGGAAGGACGCTGTGTCTGTTGGCATCCCTGGAGTCCATCCCATGCTGTCCCTGGGGCCCCCGCCTCCCTGTGGGGTCCCAGGGGAACACTGGCTGAACTGTGAGGCTGGCTCCTCACCACCTTCTCCCCTCCTCTCACCCAGGACCCGGCCCAAGGCACGCAAGCCGGGTGTGAGCCCAGCCGACATGTACCGGTGGAAGCTGTCGTCCCAGGAGCCCTGCAGCGCCACTTGCACCACAGGTACAGATGGGGTGTCACGAGGCACTGTGGGCGCCCACCCCGAGCCTGCCTCCTTGGTTCCTCCTTGGCCGCCCCTGGCGGTGGGAGCCCTGCGAGGCCATGTGCCCTGCTGAGTTGGGTGTCAGTCCCTGGGCAGCTGGGCCAGGCCCATTCCAGCCCCTTGTAGGTGCCCTGGTCTGCTGTTGTTGCTAGCGTCCAGTGCTGGGGCCTCTGGGAGCAGGCAGGAGACTCAGGGGGCTGAGGATTTTGCTTCTGTTGGTGTCAAACATGGGAGGGAAGAGGTGAACCCCGAATCCACACCCAAGGACATCAGCCAAGTCTGGGCCGCCATCCACCTGGAGAGGAGGAGTGAGGAGAGGAGGCACCTGGGTGAGGTGCAGAGGCACCTGGGGTGGGGACACTGGACACAGATGCATCTAGGCCTCGAGGTAGTCCTGGATGCCGGCCTCTGGCCATGTGGCCAGCCACCATCCCCCAGAGCTGCTGATCACGCCCCCTGCGCCAACCATGTTGAGGCTCTTGCTCCTTTCTGCGACACTCTTTTAGAGCAGCAACGTACAGTGCAGGGGATGAGCGTGGGGCCCAGGCCAGGCTTTCTAGAATGTTCTTGTGCCCTCTCCCTGGGTACTGCAGTGTGGTGTGGGAGGACGGGGTGGCGGGGACCTGGCTCAGGGGCCACTTGCCCTGGCTGTTCTGTGTCCAGGGAACCCCACTGGGGTTGTCACATCTCCCACAAGGTGCCCCTATTCTAGGGTTAGCTCGCTGAGGCTGGAGAGCCTGCTCAGCACCTGGGGACCCCAGGTGGCTTCAGGCTCTCTGGTGTCCCAGCCCCTGTCTCCACCCAGATGGATGAGGAGAAATCAACAAAGAACATGGCACTGGGGGCTGGGTGCCCCAACCCCGTGCATACCTCCTGCTCAGGGCTGGTGTCTCCAAAGCCTGGACTGCCAGGAGGACCTGGCCAGGGCCGCCTGCCCTGTGAGCAGCCCGGTGCTGCAGGGGAGGAGTGATGGCAGCTGGCCCCCCTCGTGGGACCCGGAAACTGCAGAGAGCTGGGCGTCTCTCACCCACGTCCAGGCTGCCGACAGCAGACCCAGGGCACCCAGGGCTTGCCCACACAAACCCCTGCTCTGAGCAGCCTGGCTCCCCTGGAGGGAGCTGGCCCTGCGCTGCCTTGTGCCAGCGTGGGGAGGAGGATGAGGAACTCCATGCTCAGCTTGAAGCTGGGGCATGCAGTCCTAAGGAGCCCAGAAAGACCCCACCCTGGGGATGGTGAACAGCAGCCCCAGGGGCCTGTGCCAAGGACGGGCACCCAGCTGACACCTGGGAAGCTAGTTGAGCTGGGTGGCTGTTGAGTGAATGAATGGCAGCGACCCAGGCTGGGCCTGCCCTCTCTTCCACAGCTGTGGGCCAGGCTGGGTTTGGGCAGGTGACCTGGGTGCGGGGGCTGGGCCGGGAGAGAATAGGTCTGGTCCTCAAGTGCAGGCACTGTGTGCTGGGTCCGTATGCTCCCCGAGCTCACAGCCTTTCCCTCACCCTCAACCAGGGGTGATGTCCGCCTATGCCATGTGTGTCCGCTACGACGGCGTTGAGGTGGACGACAGCTACTGCGATGCCCTCACCCGGCCCGAGCCCGTGCATGAGTTCTGCGCTGGGAGGGAGTGCCAACCCAGGTCCTGCCGGGGCCCACAGGGTGCTGAGCTGAGCAGGGTGTGTGCCTGTGTGCTGTGGCCACCCTTGCAGGGTGCTGGGGTGCATATGTAGGCCTCCACCATGAAGACCAGCTGACCCCTGCGCCGGCATCTGCACGACTGGAGAAGCTCTATTCCTAACCTAGGCCTTGGCCGGCTGACCTTGCCCTGCGGGTGGGGCCCACCTTTCTTGCCTTCTGATGCTGTTGTGGAAACACCTCAGCCCTAGATCCTCTCCAGCCCGGCGGCCACACACATGCCAGCTGCTGCCTGGCAGGCCCACCTTCCTTCCTCTCTCCTTCCTGCCTCTGCATCCTGTGCATTGGCTTCTTTCCTGGAGGGGCAGAAAACCCCAGGGACCCCACAGCCCACAGGCTGGCTCCCCAGGGCACCCCAGATTCCCCTTGGTACTCACCGCCCAGTTCAGGGGGCAAGATTTGCCTAGGGCCCCTGGCCACTTCAGCCTGCTCCTAGCAAGAGCTCTGGGCCCTGGGGGTGTCTGCTGGACCCGGAGAGTGGGAGCGGCCCCATGCTCCGCAGGGAAGGCGGGCAGAGGTGGCTCAGCTCCAGCAGGTCCCCACCACCCTTCGGGGCTCTTGATGACCCCCAGGCCCCACGCCTTCCTGTCTGGCACGGTCTGTTGGGGGGTGTGGGGCATCTGGAGCGTGGAGCAGGGCTGTGCACTGAGGCCGCCACCCTGCTGCACGCACGCAGATGGGAGACCAGCAGCTGGAGCGAGTGCTCACGCACGTGCGGCGAGGGCTACCAGTCCCGCATCGTACGCTGCTGGAAGATGCTGTCGCCCGGCTTCGACAGCTCCGTGTACAGCGACCTGTGCGAGGCCACCGAGGCAGTGCGGCCTGAGGAGCGCAAGACCTGCCGCAACCCCGCCTGCGGGCCGCAGTGGGAGATGTCTGAGTGGTCCGAGGTGAGGTGAGCAGCTGGCGGCGGGTGGCCGCGGGCAGGTGGGCTGGGCCTACGTGGTGCCCACCGCCTGCCGCCTCCAGTGCACAGCCAGGTGTGGCGAGCACAGCGTGGTGACCAGGGACATCCGCTGCTCCGAGGACGAGGAGCTGTGCGACCCCAAAACCCGGCCTGTGGGGGAGAAGAACTGTACCGGGCCTCCCTGTGACCGCCAGTGGACCGTCTCAGACTGGGGACCGGTGAGGGCGCGGGCAGTGGGGCACCTAACAGCCCTGCCTCAGGCTCCCCACTTTTCTGGAGAGGGCAGTGGGTACTGGTCCCTCCCTCACTGGTGTCACCACCAACCTGCATTCCAAGAGCAAGTGGCAGAGTCGCCCACCCTGCACGGCCCTGTCTGTGCCCTTTATTTTATTTATTTTTGTCTTTTTGAGATAGGGTCTGGCTATGCAGCTCAGGCTGGCGTCCAGCTTGCTGTGTAGCCCAGGCTGGTCTTGAACATGCAGTGGTCCTCCTGCCTCAGCCTCCCGAGTGCTGGGATGAGGGGCGTGCACGCCACGCTTGGCCTTGTGCTCTTTGCACTGGTCTCTGTCTCCCTGTCTCTGTGTACCTCCGTGTCCACCTGTGTCCTGCTCTCGGCTCCCTGTCTTCCCTTCCTGTGGCTGCTGGTCTCTGTCCCCGTCTCTCATCGGGTGCTGGCTGAGGTCACCCCCGGAGGAGGCGGCGGCGGGGGGCACGCGTGCTTGGTGAGCTGTGCTTTTCTCTGTGTGTTTAGCATCCAAAGTGTTATTTCTGTAATTAGAGCAGAAACGTTATTTAAAAAGTGGTTTCCACAGTAACCACTTCCCCATGCTGCCCGGGAGCTGCTGCTCCTCCGGGGACGATGTGGGTGGGGGGCTCACCCGGCGGCCGCGCTCAGCCCCCACTGGCCCCTCCTGCAGTGCAGCGGGAGCTGCGGGCAAGGCCGCACCATCAGACACGTGTACTGTAAGACCAGCGACGGCCGGGTGGTGCCTGAGTCCCAGTGCCAGGCGGAGACCAAGCCCCTGGCCATCCACCCCTGCGGGGACCGGAACTGCCCGGCGCACTGGCTGGCCCAGGACTGGGAGCGGGTGAGTCCCTGGGGCTGTGCAGAGTCCGGCTTGAGAGGCCAGTGGCCATGGGAGGGTGGGCCGGAACGTGGGAGTGACTGCAAATCCTGAAAGTCAAATACGAAAGTCAAAGGGCCCGAGGGAGCCCGGGCCTCCCAACTGAACAGGCGTGTGCTTGCTGAGGTCCCTGGGCCTCGCTCCCACTGCATGAGCCAGGCGGGGCCGGTGGGCTGCTGGCTGGGGGACCACGGATCTGCTAGCACAACATCTGTCCTTCCTACCAGCTGCACCCGGCCCCCAGGGGCCCTCTCCCAGGGATTTCTCTCCAGTGGCCGCCACCCAGCCGTCTCAGACAGGTCACTGCTTACCAAGTCACGCAGGCCAAACTCCTTCGCTAAGTCCATTCTGGCCAAACTGTCATTAGCACATTTGTTTCAAAACAGATGGTTTGGGGCCCAGTTGCTTTTGATTAAATCCATTTGGGGCAAATGGTTACTGAGCGAAGGGTTCTTGGCCAAATTGCCTGTGATCTAAGCACCTGCACTGTGGGCTATTTATCGGCTAAACCATGGCCACTAGAGTCCTGGCGTGTGGCCCGGTGGTATGTGTCTCAGTGGCACGTGTCCCAGGCCACAGGGCCACTGATCTGTGCCATGGGCGCCCACAGTGCAACACCACGTGTGGCCGTGGTGTGAAGAAGCGGCTGGTCCTGTGCATGGAGCTGGCTGACGGGAAGCCGCTGACACGCAGCGGCCCGGAGTGTGGCCTGGCCCGGAAGCCGCCTGTGGAGAGCACCTGCTTCGAGAGGCCATGCTTCAGGTGGTACACCAGCCCCTGGTCGGAGGTGAGCACCCCTCAGGGCCCCAGGCCGCCCTCCAGCCCGCATGTCTCCTGGGCCCCTCCTCCAGGAAGCCTTCTCTGATCTCACCCTGGGTTCTCACCCTGGGCCTCCTTCTGGGGCCTTGTCACATCTGGTTTTGGACAGTGACCTGTAAGTGGAGTGATGGTGGTCCATGTGTCAGCAACTTCCGTGGGACACAGCCAAGGCAGGGACGTGGGAGTTGGGGTGCACGGGAACAGTGGAATGTTTTCCTTCTGTGACCTGTGCGTGTCTGTGGGCTCCTCAGCCCCCAGATCCCCAGCTCAGGTCGCTGGCGGCGGGGAGCTGAGTGTTCCCCTCTGCCTTGAGCCATGCCTTCCCCTCCTGGCTTTGCACTGACTGAGCCTTCTTCCTTGAGTTTGGCTGAGGGTGTCACGCTGTCCCTTTTTCAAGAGAAGGGATAGGTACTCAGTGAGACGTCCCGGGGCCTCCTGGTTACAGGGTGCAGTGGAAGGGACGCAGAATGAAGGGGCCTGAGCCGGCCCACACCGTGGAGCCCAGGCAGGGAGCTCTAGGCTTGCAGCCCCAGTTCCCGGAAGGGGCCAGGCAGGGCGTGGCAGCCCGGCTACCCTGTCCGTCCCCACCCCTTCTGCAGAGGCCTCCTGCCACGGTCCCGGGCTCTGGGACTTGTCAATACTCCCCACTCTGGTGGCCAGAGACAGTGGGGCTGGAGGCCAGCTTCAGAAACTCCTTGGGGCTGCCCATTGTTGCTGCCCATGCTGAGTCCAGCGCTGTGCTGCGCAGGGCCACCAGCACTCAGGAGGGCATGTGGGGCCCAAGCCGTCCTGGGGAGCCGCTGGCCAGGCTGGGTGACCAGGGTCTCTGGCTGCCTGTGCCTTGGTTCTTAAGGACAGTAGAGGGGACGCAGGGACCAGAACTGTCACTGCGGTGCTCACGGCATGTTCCACGTGCTGTGGATGCCTGCTCTGTGCTTTGGGACAGTGCCAGGCCCAGGTAGGGGGCAGCAGTAGGTCCCGGCCACCAAAGTAGCATTGCCGGGTGTAGGGGCTGGACTCATCAAATGCCATGCCATAGCCCACCAGGTGGGGACCCTGGGTGTCTGTAGGCAGGGCCCATGTGTCCTGCCCAGATGTGCCAAGCCTGAGCACCTCCTGCTGCCTCCAGGTATTGGGTCTCAGCCCTGCCCTGTATGGGACGTCCACCCTCCCCCCTTGTCCTGCGTCACCACTAAGGACAGACTCTCCAAGGATCCTGGTGATGACTGGGAGGTTGAGGCAGAGCTGGGCCCCCCTGAGATCCCTGGGTGACCCAAGGCCGGGAGGAGGCATGACCATTAGCTGACACCAGCTCGAAGGACACAGGCATGTCCAGAAGCAGGGGTCCCTCCTGGGTGACTGAGGGGACCTGGAGCAGTGAGTCCTGGCTGTGGTCAGGGCCCCCGGGGAGCCAGGCTGAGCCTTATGTTTTGGGGACAGCTGTGGGTCCCAGAACTCTCAGCCACAGAAGGGAAGAGATGGGGTGCACTGTCCGGTGAGGAGGGACCAGGTGAGACAGGAGCTACAGTGGGCACCCCAGTCGCTGCCATCTGTCCTGTGTGGTGGCTCCATGTCATGTCTTAAGCTGCCCTGTCCCATTCCCTCCCTGGGGACAGACGCAGGCGCCAGGACTGGCCAGGAGCCCATCTGTCTCCAGGGGCACATCAGAGGTTCCTCATGGTATTTGCCAAAGGCAGATTGTCCCTTGGCAGTGGTGCCAAGCTGGCCTCTCCATGCCTCCAGATGGGGCCGGGTGGGGCCTCTGGCCAAGTTTCTCAGCCTCCTTGTGCCTGTGCAGATGAAACTGGGGGTTTGAGTAAGCCTTGGGAGCACCAGCCCCACACAGCACGGGAGCCCAGGGCTGGGGTGCGGACACTGGGTAACAGATGCAGGGTCTCTGAGTCCGGGAGCCCCCACCTACAGGATGCTGGCGGGAGCGGAGGCTGGGGTGTGCCCGCTGGGGTGGCAGGCGTGCCAGATGCAGGGGATGGGCTAGCTGAGAGAGAACACTGTGTCACAGATCCGGGACAGCTGGAGCCACGGTGCCCAGCAGGACACAGTTATCCCCTCCCAGGGCAGCTGGAGAAACCGAGGCAGTGTGGGAACGGGGGCAGCTCCACCTGCAGGTTCTCGTCCCCCAGGGGCCTGCCCTGTGGCCTGGGAGGCTGCACGCCCCACACACCTGTCTCCTCACAGTGTACCAAGACCTGCGGCGTGGGCGTGAGGATGCGCGACGTGAAGTGCTACCAGGGCACCGACATCGTCCGTGGCTGCGACCCGCTGGTGAAGCCTGTGGGCAGACAGGCCTGTGACCTGCAGCCATGCCCCACAGAGCCCCCGGGTGAGAACTGGGAGGCGGAGGCAGAGGCAGGCCGGGCTCCCGGAGGAGGCCCAGGGGTGTGTGTAGGGGCGTTAGTGGGGCGTCAGTGGGAGGGCACAGGTGTGCAGGGTCTCTCCTGGGGGGGCAGCGGGGAGCCATGCTGAGCTCTGGGCTTTGGGAAGCGTGTCAGCTTAGCTGGACGTGGCGGTACAGCCTATAACGCCAGCACTCTGGGAGGCTGAGGCAGGAGGAGCACAAGTCGATGCCCAGGCTGAGAAAGCGGTAACTTAGCAAGACAGCGGAACTGTCTCAAAATAACTCCTAGCGAAGGAGGGTGGGGGCTGGGAAGGAGCCCCGTGGAGTCGTGGGCGTGGCTCCTCCTGGTAACCCCGCCCTTCCCCCACGTCCCGTCCCCAGATGACAGCTGCCAGGACCAGCCAGGCACCAACTGTGCCCTAGCGATCAAGGTGAACCTCTGTAGCCACTGGTACTACAGCAAGGCCTGCTGCCGCTCCTGCAGGCCCCCCACTCCGAGCCGCGGGGCCGCAGTGCCCTGAGACCCGTGCGCCTGGCCTGGGGTTGCTGCCGCTCCAGGAACCTCCTGGACGCTGTCCTGCGGGACCCCAGGCTGGGAAGATGTGACGCTGAGCCTTGGTCCACAAGAGGGACTTCAGGGCCTCCAGTGCCTGCCACGGGAGCTGTCCACAGAGCCACAGGGACCTTTCGTCTGAGCGTCCCAACGGCAGCCCAAACGCGAGGGCCCGCCCAGCGTGGGAGGGCGAATTCCCATGGCTCAGGGCCTTGACTGGGCCGGCAGGGCCTTCTGCAGGTGACTTGCAGAGGGTGGGAAAGGAGGTGCCTCCTTTGCTCAGGTGACTTGTGTTGCAGAGCCTCAGGGCACTGAGAGGCCCCGCCTGCCCGGGATCCTGATGTGTGCAGGCGCCCTCCTCCTAGGGGCTCGTCTCATGGCCCAGCATGGGCTCTGCAGGCTGTCTAGGAGTCCTGTGTTGGAGGGACGGGCGCGCTTCATGCCCCAGGGCAGGTCCTCTTTTTAATGGTATATTTGTTCATGGACAGCAGGATGCCCTGTAATCCCCTAGTACTCACCAGTTCATGTGAATAAAGTGGTCCAAGTGGTCTTACTTATGGCGGACCCTGTGGCTGTTGGGGACTTGAGGCTCAAGAGTGCAAGGGTGGAGGGACAGGGAGGTGATGGCAGCAGGAGCCTCAAGCCTGCTGTCCACTTGTGTGGGCCCCAGGGCAGCAGGGGGACCTCAAGGTGATGAGCCGTCTCCGCCTGCAGGCACCCCGAGCCTCTGTGCCTGTGTGTGGGTCTTCGGAAGGGCCCCTGGAGCATCTGTGGGGGCCGGGGCCTTAGAGTCCTCTGCAGGTTTTTCTCCATGCAAGAAGGGGAAGCAGAAGCAGAAAAACGGTGGCTGGGGTCCCCAGCAGCAAGAGCACAGGACACAGGCACTGGGAAGGAGAGCAGGGCACCCTCTCCCTCGCCACTGCTACTGGCTGGATGGCCCCAGGCAGGGCACCTCAGGCTCAGCTGGTGGAGAGGCCAGTGGCTGCCCGGCTGCCTCTGCCGGCGCAGGGCTGGGCAGTGCACCACCCGGGGTGCAGACCGGCAGCTGAGGCAGAGCTGCACCGCGCAGGGCAGCGTCTCCCAACCCTGGCGGTGGGGGTGGGCGGGGAGCCAGCCGGGCGTGTCCTCGCCCCTGGGACCTGTTTTGGTGTGACTGCAGTAGGGCTGACACCACCAGAAATCTTTCTGGTCGTGAGATCCTGGGCTTAGAGGCTGGAGGGACATATCTGCCGCAGGTGACCATCTGGGCCCCAGCAGATCGGCACCCCACACTGGGGGATCCTCACGGGCTCTCTGCTGGGCTCTCCACCTCGTCTCCTCCTGTACTGACTGCCTTGCTGTCTTTCCTGATGCACCACCTGCCTGGTCTTGGGCTGTCCCCCTGGGGTTCCCAATCCTCAGCCCTGGTGGACCCAAGAAACCAGGCGGGTTGCTGTGGACTCTCCTTGCTAAGAAGCTATTCCGGGCCTCTCGGGACACAGCCTAAACCCCTCCAGCCAGCTCCAACTCCAACTGTCACTGGGGCGGCTTCCAGGGCGGGTCTGTACCTGGGACCCAGTGGGGACAGGGACTAAAGATGCAGACCAAAGAGTGAGAAACAGGTTTATTGGCTTTTGCTTTGTTCTGGAAACCTCACGGCCCCCCGTGGTCCCAGGGTGTGGCGATGGGTGAGCTGGGAGGGATGCACGCTTAGTTCATTTCAAAGGGACCCATGGGTCTGTACAGAGAGGGCAGAGGCCGGACAGGCAGGGGCCCCTCGATGCCAATGGTGAGGATCCATCCGGGGAGGGCTGGGCTCAGTGAGGCAAAGAGCCTGCTAATCCAGACTGGGCAAGCAGGAGGGAGAAGAGGGTGAACAGGGCCGGGGGCTCCGCACCACCAGTCTGGATTGGACGGATGGAACTTTGGGGATGCACTTGCCCCATCCTGGACTCCAGGCAGGGGGTGCAGGTGCCAGAGAAAAGAGCTCTCTGGGCCCATGTCACGTCTGGGGGGACAGCACTGTGCTCCTACGACAGTGCCCTGGCTTAGGGCACCTCCCTGGGGTGGTCTGTGGCATCTTAGCCACCAAGGAGGAAGGGAGAACTCACAATGCCCAGGGAGACCAGGCTGCAGCCTGTGGGACGTAGGCACAGTGAGGCCTCCGCTCAGGCAGCCAGCTCCACACTGGGTCCGCCGGGCAGTGAGGAGGGCTGGGGCGGGGCCTTGATTGGAGCAGGGAGTACGTGGCCACTAGGTGAGCCCTCGCTCTGACCCCCCAGGGTCTCTGCCGCTGCTGAGAGCTAGAGCTGAAGGACCTGAGGCCAGCATCCTCCTCACGTGGAGGGGAGGGGAGGCCCAGAGCTGCGAAGGCCTGGCCAAGTCTCACGGCGCCTTGGGTGTTGGCACCCAGGCCGCTGTCCTGTCCACCTCTGCCTGGCTGCCCCTGGATTGAGGACCAAGCCCTGTGCCAAGCAGGGTATAACTCTCCTGTGCCCGCTTGTGCCAAGGACTCTACTGCCCTGAGACTCACCCTTGTGCTTGTGGGGGCCCGTCCAGCTGCAGAAAGCTTAGTGCTCAGGCCCAGCAGGTGCAGGGCACCCAGAGCCCAGAGAGAGAGAGACAGACAGACAGACAAAGGGGCTGAGCTCAGGCTGCAGAGACAGAGCCCTGCACCTGCAATCAGGGCCTTAGCATCGCTGAGACCATTCTCCTGGAACAAGGCGGTTGACGCCAGGGTGGGTGTAATATTGCTGTTGCACATCCCCTGAAAATGCGCCTGCCCTGAGGCCCAGCCCAGCAGCTCCCTTCGCCCTCCGGCCCCTGGCCTATCCCTGTGGCAGCCTTGCTGCCCGTTCTGCCAGCTGGCCCTACCTGCACTGGCCACACCTGCGTTCATTGAGCCTTACCCCCACACCTGGGCCCCAGGGACGGGGACGGGAACTGGAGGACAACTTGGCAGAGCCTTGGCCGGGGCCTGGAGCCAGGGGTGGGCAGAACAGGCATCCTGCCATGGCTCAGGGCCTCCTAGGGCGGAGTGGCCGCACGCTGTGGGCTCTGGGCGCAGGGTCACACGTCGGTGCTGACACTGCGGCTCCGGGAGAAGGCCTCTCGCATGGCCGACAGGCGGTTGGGGTTGAGTGGCTGCAGGCCTCCGAAGCCCCCGGGCGGCAGCTCCACGTCTTCCTGGCTGATGCTCCTGTAGGCCACGCGCCCCCCTCCGTTGCGCACACCCTCGTCCGCTTCATCCTCCTCAGGCTCCTGCAGGAAGAAGGTGGGCGGCTCGCAGTGGGAGCAGCTGCGGCAGAGGGCCCGGGCCTGCGGCGACTTCTGGCTGAAGGAGGTGGAGGCGGTGGGGTAGAGCGCCGGGCCGTTGGTCAGCACCAGGTTGCGGTTGGAGTGCAGGGGCGGCACGTGCGCGTGTACCGCGAAGTCCGGCTCCGACTCGTCCTCCTCCGACTCGTCCTTCTTACAGCAGTAGTACTGCGGGAAAGGACCGTGAGCACGCCACGCCCTGGCTCACAGTGCTCCCTGGCAAGGGCCCCGGGACACACCTGAGTAGCAACCCCCATTCAGGGAAACTGAGGCACGAGCTGCAGGCAGCCCCAGAGCAGCAGAGCCGGAGTCCAAGCCCTGCCGGTGTGCCTTGCCTACCAGAAGGCGTCCCCTTGGCCTTGGGGGAGACTCGGGGGTCCCAGATGTGCCTGCAGCACAGGGCGGCAGCACACAGGGAGCCCCTGGGCTCACCCCTGCTCTCTCCCTGATGGCTGCATGCCCCGGGATGAGGGCCAGACCCTCTCTGAGCCTCGGCCAAAGCCCTGGGGGAAGTCGCAAGCAGTCACCCCCACTGCGGCCCTGGTGCTGCCCTCCGGGGGCTGGCACCAGAACCTCCCCTGCCACCCCTGTCCCCTTGGGTCCCAATCCCACGCCCTCCTGCTCGGGGTACCTGGAGCCGACAGTAGCAGAGAACGGCAATGATGCAGAGCAGAATCACTGTCGCCAAGATGCCCCCAGTGATGACCACAGTCCCGGCTGTCATCCGCCCACTTCTCCACCAACAGCCTGCAACAGACGCCAGAGTCACCAGGGAGCCAGCACCAGGGGAGGAGAAACTGCCTGCTCAGGGGAGGCCGGGCGCCTCCTGGCCCTGTGTCACCACCTGGGCATGGGGCCGGAGCCAGGAGGCCCAGGCCCTGCCCACCTCAGGCAGCCTCTTTCCTGCTCCCGGCCTCAGTTTCCCCACAGTGGGGGCGAAGAGCGCGGAGTCCCGTCCTCCCTCAGGGGAGGGTCCTTCCGCCTGGGCCTCCCGCTTTCACCTTGGCCCGGCGCAGACAGTGGGTGTGCAGGGCTCACGGAACGTGGGCGCAGCCCGCACGGCTTTCCCTAACCCTCAGCTTTTCTTCTGCGACATCATTTCTGACCGCAGTCCACTCTCCAACAAAACCGATGCTTCGGCTTTTGAATATTTAGTGGTAGTAGGGTGCGCATGACCCAAAGTTCGCCACCATTGCCTCCGTAGTCCCTATTCACTCCGGTATTAAGCGGGTTTACTCCTGGGGACACTTTTGGGGTGCTAGGATTGAAGGCAGGACTTCACAACACTAGGCAAGCACTGTGCTGCTGAGCAACACTCAGCCTTTTTATTTAATTTATTTTATTATTTTCAGACAAGATCTCACTAAGTTGCCCGATGGGCCTTGAATTTGCAATCCCCCCCGCCTCAGCCTCCCACAGGCTGGGATTACAGGCGCGCACCACCAGACCAGCGACAGTCTCTATACTTTTGTGTCCATGGTCCTATGGGGTTGTGGCTTTGGGGGTGCCCTGCGTCATTCTGATCTGGGCCCTGAAGAGTTTCACCAAATGGCAGAGGGTTGGTGAGGTCACGGTAGGCAGAGGGTCCTCCAAGTCCCTGTCCTGGATGTTTTCATTGATGGCAACAGGGGGGTAATTATTTTTTAAGTAGAGGAAAAAAAATACGAGTTCATGTCCGTATTTGTACTTCAAATCAGCGCGTGTTGTGAAATGGGGCGACTTGTACAGTGAAATCTTATTTCGGCTACTGTTGATTCTTTCGTGCTGTCCTGCTTGTCGGGTAATCTTGAAGTGGTGTGACCACAGTGCTTCCTCACGTGTCTCCTGGGAACGCGCACGACACCTGCGTTCCTCTTGTCCTTATCACAGGGACGTGGCCGGCAGACAGTTTCAAAGTCACAGGAGGTAATTATCTGTGTCACTCTTTCCAAGTCAGTTCTATACTCAGGTTCGGGGGCGGGGGGTGTTCTTAATTAAAAGATAAATTTAATTTTGGTCCTTAGTCACCCAAAGCACTGGGTCCCAAAGCCCACAGCGTGGAGCATCCCACACGTGGGTCCCACTCTGGACAAGGCCACTGAATTCTGGCTTTGCCCTTCCACAACTTCTTTCTAGACAAGCACACCTTTGGGAGTTGGCTTCTGGAAGCCCCACACTGTGTGGGTGGCATCTGGGGCCCTCTCGGGTGCTCAAGCCACCCTGTGCAAGGGTCACCCAGCCGGCCCAGGACACCATGGCACAGGTGCCACGCCTCATCTCAGCTCTCACAGAAGCAGTGCGCTGAGCTCATGGACTCTAAAGTGTTGCGGGACCTGCACCCAAGGCGTGCTGGAATCCAGCTGGTTCATCCTACGCCGGAGTGTGGGTGCACGACCAGCAGATGAGATGGGGTGCAGAAGGCTGCTTTGTGTCCCCAGAGACCCACAGCTAGACTTGGGAGAGTCTCTGGACCAGGTACAGGTGAGGGGATCCCCTGGGAGAGATGGAGGGGGCCACGGACACATGCTAACAAGCAGGACTCATCCAGGCGAAGCTGGGCCCGGAAGCCAGAGCCTGACAGATAGATGGAAAGGCAGGGCCAGACAGACAGACACAGGTGCAGACGGGCCCACAGGAGCCAGACGGAGACACAGCCAGACCACAGATAGTTCCAAAGACAGGCAGACAG